TAAGGTCTAGAAGGTTGGTACTACTGGCAATACAATGAAAACTAATAGAATACAGTAAAGACTAATTTCATGGAGAGTACTATTCTCATGAAAAAATCAAAATAGCATATAAACAGGTTCGTTTCAGAAAGTGGTATGTACTTGAAGGGAAACATCACGGGAGATAACACAGGAATTTGGTAATCTAAAAAAAGAAAGCCTCCCTCCCTCTGCAAGTACTTTTTTGTTTAGCATAATTGTATATATTTTAAGCAAGGACCATCCACGTGAAGACCTGGAGAAGGAACATGCAGGCAGAGGAAATGACAAATGCAAAACCCACTCTGAAATAAGTTTGGTGTTGCCAGGAACAGAAAGATGATGCAGTAGAACCCTGCAGGGCAACAAGAGAAGGCACATGGGTAGGCACGAGACACAGCCTTAATAGAATTCGGATTTCAAATCTGATTATAAGAACAGTGAAAGCTTTGAAAAGTTGTCATGATCTGAAGTGCATGTATTTTGCTGTACTTCAACATAACAGTGGTCTTGAGGAGGACAGTAAATGATGATGGGAGGAGGTGATAAGGTTGAATTAAAAAGGCATGTAACATATGAAGAAGTGAGTCACAATACACAAGAGCAAAGACTCTTCTGACCTTTGGTTAGGACTCCATTCTCAGAGACTATGGGCATTTGACAGATGGCTTCTGCAATAAATACAATGGAGAAGAGATGAGTTTACAACATGAGAGAGCAAGGAGTTCTAAAACAGAAGTAATAACATGTCGGGCTCTGAAATAGAAATTACAACATGAAAAAATAGGGGAATTTAAAGCAAAAGTTACATAAGACTGGGACATCCATTTGTGCAAGATAACCCTTCACAAACTTGTAGAAGGCACTGATGAGCACAAGACAAAAATCACATTTTCTCTGCTTCAAGGAGACAACACAAAATCAGGACTGTACTAGTCAAGTATGGGAGAAGCCCAGTGAAGCAGATAAAGCTTGATTTGGAAACTGAGTTCATTTGAAAGAGAAGTTTCTCTCTGTCTCACTGTCTCTGTCTTTCTCTCCCCTCCCCTTTCTCACCCCGCCCCCAACACACACAAGTCTAGGCCATAGGTGTTCAGAAGTTAAAGGAAAAGCTCTGGGTTATCCGTGTGTCTTCAAAGTGGAGACTTTCATCCAGGCCCACTCCATGGCTTCTTTCTTTGACTTATTCCCTAGATCTAACATCATCTGCAGGGGGAGGGGTGAATTGAAAGATGAGGCAGTAAGCACTGTTTTTTGTGCTATCTAAATTCTTTTTTTTTTTTTTTTTTTTTTTTTTTTTTTTTTTTTTTGGTCAATTTGACACAAGCTTGAGTTATCTGAGAAGAGGGAACCTAGATTCAGAAAATGCCCCCATTAGATTGCCTGTAGACAAATTTGTAAGGTGGTTTCCTTGATTGATGATTAATGTGGAAGGGCCCAGCCCACTGTGAACAGTGCCACTCCTGCTCAGGAGGTCCCAGGGTATATAAGAAAACCAACTGAACAAGCCAGCAAGCAGTTTTCTTCCATGTCCTCTGCTTCAGTGCCTGCCTCCAGGTTCCGGCTTTGAGTTCCCAAATAAACTGTGACTTGGGATATGTCAGCCATAGAAACCCTTTCCTCCCCAACTTGTTTCTCGTCATGATCTTATCACAGCAATAGAAATTTAACTGATTCAGCTGCTCTTTTCCAAAGGCAGCTTCTGAGAGCCAGCATGACACATTCAACAAAGAAGCGTGGGCACATGGCATTAAGTCCTCACTGCCAGAAGCAGAGCCCGGACCCCATTCACCTTTACTTTCTCGTGCTCCTTCCGGTTACTGGTGGGTTGTTTTTCTCCTTTGCTTCCAGAGGCTCAGGAGAGCTTGAGAGCAGCACTGAAGGAGGATGCTCTGTGGTCCCTCAACCCAATGCCCTCTGGTTTCTCTTGCCCTGCTCTTGACCACA